TAACGCTAACCTAACCTTATATCAAACCTAACCTAACCTAAACCTTAATCTAACCTAACCTACCTAACCTAAAACCTAAAACCTAACTTAAGCCTAACTAGAACGTTGCAAAGGCAGGAAAGAGATAATATATAATATATTATATATATATATATAATATATTATATATATATATATATATATATATATATATATATATATATAATAAAACAGAAATTGTAGTCAGAATGTATCAAACCAAAATATGTTTTTTGTACTTAAGTATTTTGTGGAGTTGATTGTAAAAGAGAGGGGGAAGGAGGAGGGAGAGGGGGAAGGAAGGGAAGGGAAGGTAGTAAAAGAGTGAAAGAAGAAGGAGAGAGAGAGAGAGAGAAGAGAGAGAGAGAGAGAAGAGGGAGGGAGGGAGGGAGGGAAGGGAGGGAGAAGAGAGAGAGAGAGAGAGAGAGAGAGAGAGAGAGAGAGAGAGAGAGAGAGAGAGAGAGAGAGAGAGAGAGAGAGAGAGAGAGGAGAGGGAGGAGAGAGAAGAAGGAGAGAGAGAGAGAGAGAGAGAGAGAGAGAGAGAGAGAGAGAGAGAGAAGAGAAGAGAAGAGAGAGAGAGAGGAGGAGAGAAGAGACGAGAAACAGAGACAGAGCACCAGATCAGAACACACACACACACACACACCACCCCACACACACAACACACACACAATTGACAACACACACACACCATACAAACACACACACACACAGACAGAGGGACCAGTGTGTGTATGTGTTTTGAGTGTGTGTTGTGTGCAACGCCAATCACCGTATCTATACTGATCTGTCCTACATACGCTACACGCACACGTGTGTAAATCGAATACGAAATTTGTACAGAACATCCAACAGACACTAACAGGCAGCGATTCACAAACAAGATACCACACACTCACTCGTTTCCAAAGACCTTCCGTTACATGTATTTGCCACCACAAAGCATGAGGTAAATTTGTTCGTCCACATATATATATATATATTTGTCAGTATAAGAAGTTTTGTCATTTTTTTCTTTTTCTTTGTGTGTTTATCTGCGCAATGTAGAAGGGGGAAGGAGAAAATATGAAATGCGGAAATGAGAAGGAGATAGATAGGGGCAGAGAGAGAAAGAGAGAGGAGAGAGAGGAGAGAGAGGAGAAGGAAGAGAGAGAGAGAGAGAGAGAGAGAGAGAGAGAGGAGAAGAGAGAGGGAGAATGAGAGAGAGAGAGAGAGGAAGAGAGAGAGAGAGAGAGGAGAGAGAGAGAGAGAGAGAGAGAGAGAGAAGAGAGAGAGAAGAGAGAGAGACAGAGAGAGAGAGAAGACAGATCAGACAGAGAGGAAGGGAGTGGAAGAAAGAGAGAGAGAGAGAGGGGAGGGAAAGGAGAAGAGGAGAAATGAGAGAGGAGGGGGGGGGGGGAGAGAGAGAGGGACAGACAGGGCTGATAAAACGAAAGGTTTTTTCCTAGTAATACCTTGCAATTTATACACATTTTGTTATTTTCTATTTCTAATGTGTTTATTCATGCACAAATTCTCTTTTGTGAATGTAAGCAAATGTGTGTGTGTATGTGTTTGTGCGTGCGTGTGTGTGTGTGTGTGTGTGTTGTGTGGTTGATGTTGTGTTTGTGTGTGTATGTGTTTGTGTGTGTTTGTGTGTGTGGTGTGTGTGCGTGTGTGTGTGTGTATGTGGATGTTATGTGTGTGGTGGTAGTGTGTGTGTGTGTGTGTTGGTATGTGTGAGTGGTGTGTGTGTGTTGTGTTGTGTGGTGTGCGCGCGCGCGCGTGTGTGTGTTGTGTGTGGGTGTGTGGGTGTGTGGTGTGTGTGTGCGCGCGGCGGGTGTGTGTAGTGTGTGTGTGTGTGTGTGGTGGAGTTATAATCTCACATTTTGTAAGTAAGATTGTATTCATTTAGTCATGTTTATTTCGTTCTGTGGTTTACTCTGCTTTGTTTATTTTAACAACTATTTTCCTATTTGTATAAGGTCTATTTATATGTATGTTTCTACCCCGGATATTTCGGTACCTCTTTCTCTCGTCCTCCCAACCACTCTCTCTTTCTCTCGTCTCCTTTATCTTCTCTCATATATCTCTCTTCTCTCTTCTCTTCTTTATCTCTCTCTTTTTATCTCTCTCCTCTCTCTCGTCTCTCTCTATCTCTCTCTCTACTCTTCTCTCTCTATATTATAATATATATATATATATAATTATATCATAATATATATATATATATAATAATATATATTTTTGGCTTCTTCTCTCTCTCCTCTCCTCTCCTCTCTCTCTCTCTGTCTGTCCTCTCTCTCTCTCTTCTCTCTCTCTCTCTTCTCTCATCAGTCTTCTTCTCTCTCTCTCTCTCTCTCTCTCTCTCTCTCTCTCTCTCTCTCTCTCTTCTCTCTCTCCCTCTCCTCTCTTCTCCTCTCTCTCTCTCTACTCTCTTTCTCATCTCTCTCCCTCTCTCTCTCATAAATTACACACTCAAACACACAACACACACACTCCCATTCGTTAATTCTCAACTCCGCCGTGCGCAACCAAAGCATGAAAGATGAATAGATCAATGAAAAAACGAAAAAGGAGAAAAAAAAAAGAAGAAATAAAAAGAAAAAGAAATATACCCTTTGATTTATCACTTCAAGTTAAGGTGCACCGGAAGTCTCTATTAGCGAGGTTCCGAGAAATTCAGGTGACTTTAATATAATTCTTGTGCCATCTCTCTTCTTCTTTACTTGGGCAATTTTCGCTCTTCTTAGAATGTGAAATGAAAATAAATATGCGGTAATTGATTTGATTTCTGTAAGATTATCATTGTTATTATTTTTGTTGTCACCATTATTATCATTATCAATATTATTTTCATTATTTTTCATAAGTATTAAATCATTATTATTTAAGTTTTATAAAGTTTATATCATTAATCATTATTTTCATGGGTATTATCATTTATCATTATCATTTCAATTATCATTAATCATTGGCTGTTATTGTCCATAATCATAAACTATTATTTTTACCCATAGTTATCACTACATCATGATATCAAACAGTTATTGTTAATAGTTATAACTTAAGGCATCATGTATTTTTTTTCAGGTACGCATTTTTTGCTATTGATTATTATTACATTATCATTATTTATCCTTATTAAATCAATAAATGTACTCCATATATATATCATGTTTATACATACATACGTATATATATACATATAGGCAAACAGATAGAATAGATAGAATTAAGACAGATAAAACAGATAGATAAGATAGTCATATATGTAATGCATATATATTAATATAATATATATATATATAATAATATATATATATATTATACATACATACATATATAATGTGTGTGAGTGTGTGAGTGTGTGATGTGTGTGTGTGTGTTGTTGTGTGTGTGTGTTGTGTGTGTGGTGTGGTGTGTGTGTGTTGGTGTGTGTGTGTGTGGTGGTGTGTGTGTGTGTGTGTGTGTGGTGGGTTGTGTGTGCACAATGCCTAACTTATAATATAATTGTATGCATATGAAAATAAATGAATAAATTAAACACGGAAATGAATACATCAACCATGTAATTCCCTAAAAAAAAAAAAAAAAAAAAAAAAAAAAAAATCCTAAATCTTATTCCATGGAAGTCCCACAGTAATGATCCTGAATTTAATTTGAATTCATATTTTCCTAAACATTTGATACAGCAGCAGATGGGCGAAAAATTGAAGCCAAGGAACAAGAAAGAGAAGGGTGGAGAATAAAAGGAGGGAACGAGGAAGGGTGGATAGAGAGAGAGAGAGAGAGAGAGGGAAGAGAGAGAGAGAGAGAGGAGAGATGAGAGAGAGAAGAGAGAGAGGAGAGAGAGAGAGAGAGANTTCTCCTCTCTCTTTCTTTCTTTTTCTCCTTCTCTCTCTTTCTCTTTCTTTTTCTCCTTCTCTTTCTTTTTTTCCTTCTCTTTCTTTTTTTCCTTCATTCTTTCTTTTTCTCCTTCTCTCTCTTTCTTTCTTTTTCTCCATCTCTCTCTTTCTCTTTCTTTTTCTCCTCTCTCTTTCTCTTTCTCTTTCTCCTTTTCTCTCTCTTGTGTGTGCTTGACAAGCACATGAGAGAGAGAGAGAGTGAGAGTGAGTTATTGTAGTATTGACAATAAAGTACCAAATGTTTGCCATATAACCCTCACCATCAGATTCTCCTCCTACCCTATCTTATTGCCTACACTTTCCCTTCCCCCTCCCCCTGGGTCATCTCTTGCTCTTTTACTTTAGATATGATTAATACTGATCGATATGCAGAAAAATATGCCAGGGTGTGAATGTATGCTTTTCAGGAGTCTGTGAATGCATGATTTTTTCCTTTAAAAGTAACTATGGCATCCTCAGAACAAATCTCAATTTTGACTGATTCGAACATTTAGTTGTATTTGTAGTGACAAGCTAAAGACATGAACTTTAATGCATGACTTTCCTGGGCAAGGGAGTAGATGTTTTTGTAAAAATACAAGGCTTCACAAGTAATGGATATATATTTGTCTTTATGTTGGTGTATGTTATTGCATGGTGTGATAAAAGAGTAAAAGCAACAACCAATTTTAAGTCTGAATAGCACATCATAAAACATTTTTTTAACACTCTTTATATCATATTTTGCCCCTAAATATACTTTACAGAAAAAGATACTTTGCCATGCCTGTAGTGTAAAAGACAATGCATTCTATGGGGTAAACATTACTGTGATTTTTATGACTAGTTTGCCATAGATTATTTATATTTTAGCAGTAGCAAAAGTTCACTTTAATTGACCTAGGGGAATGTGATTTTCAGTTATCTTGTTTTGTGCACTATGGTTTAACAATTGGTTAAAATAATAATGATTTTATATTTTCCTGAAGATAAAGTGGGAGCATTAGTGCTTGCAAATTATTATGTTTGAATGTAATTATTTTTGCTTTCATGTATACTCCAAATGAAGTAGCAGATACTGTATTCTCAATCTTAAAATTATTGAGGATGATTCACTGAACTTTTAAACTTTTATTTCAGAAAAAGTGAGGCAGTCCAAGCTCTCCCGAAGCCTAGTTTAGCTCTGAACTGTGTCAGTGGACGCAGCGGAACAGAGATCTTGCGGCAGTTGTCACCCCAAGGTGTTATGGTCACTTATGGCGGAATGTCAAGAAAGGTAAGCCATGAATGTATAATGAATGAACTAAGTAAAAGAAAAACATTCAAGTTCTAGTTTTTAACAGGTTGGCTTAAATGTGTATCCCCCCCCCCCCCCTTTCAAGCAATACATAATTTTACCATGAGTCGGCATACTCACATCTCACTTTCTCAGCTGTTATACCAATAAGTACATAAAAGCAATGGGTTTGTGACAACTCAATCTTTATTCCTTTCAGCCTGTCACTGTTCCCGTTGGTTCCCTGATCTTCTCCGATGTGACTCTGAAGGGATTTTGGATGACACGCTGGAACAAGAATCATTTCAGTCACCCAGAACGAGAGAACATGTTAAATAAACTTTTTGACTTAGTGAAGCAGGGTAGGCTGTGTCCACCTGATCATGCAATGGTCCAGTTTGAGGATTATAAAACTGCTTTAAAAGATGCAATGCCAAGTGATGGTATGGTTGGTAAAAAACAAATACTAGTCTTTCAGTAGATAATGATTGATTGATTTTGTTGTGCAAGAGATTAAAAAGTAATATTGACTGTTTTAAAACTATATACTGAACAGGATATCTACTTGAATATACGGTTGCATATGTTAAAGGGGAATGACTGCTAATATCCTCATGTATATAATGTTCTGGAAGCAATATATTTATTTTATGACTATTTTCTTTCTTTTTTTCCCCCTATAATTTTGTTGAAAACGCTTGGTTCATTATCAACAAATAATAAAACGTAGTTGGTGCAATGTTCACTGTCATGTAATCATTTTATGATCTCTTCACTAAATGTGAAAAATATTGGTCTTCAAAGGTTATGACTGTAATGAAACAGTAAGTAGAAATGCGCACTTTAATAATATAATACTTGCCTTTAGGCTAAATTCAACACATTTTTCCCCTACAAATCTGATATTGGCCCTAAATACATGTGGAGATGAAACACCAATATGTATGTAATGCACCAAAATATACCCAAAACAAATTTACAATAAGGTATAAAAAACTGCAATAAAGATCTACATGTATATAATATGCCTCAAGAGAGTTCTCTCTCTCTTTTTTTTTTTATTCTCTCTCTAACGCTAACAGAGGGCTTTGTATAAATATACACTGGATGTGGTTTGCATCTCATGAAAGGGACTATGGAGCGTCACAATTACGAGGTCAAAAAAATAATTCTGATGCCGTGGGTAGTTGGTGGAAGACACGAGGAACCTCCCTCGCTCTCAATTCACATGATACACAGGTACACATCAAGGCTTGCCCACTTGGTTCTAGGATGGAGTTAAAGGGATTATATAAGGAGTGTGGAATATAATAATACTTCCACCAACTTGCCAACATCTCTTCTAACTTTCTGGCTAGTAGATACAAATTGCACAATCACACTAAGCAAGTTTTGGACCCAAGTACTAGTAGCATTGGTGATACAGTTGCATAAAATTTGTTTCTTTTATTTTCTTTTCTTTTTTTTTCTCTTTTTTTGTTGCTAAGGCAGACCTGCAGGATCTAAATTTACTGTGTTGTAACTACAGATTTTTTTTCTATGAACATGTGCATTTACTGGCAAGAGTTTACCACATTTTTTTTAAATCTTAAGTAAACACTAATATATAGTTGTTGCATGATGCTAAAAATTTATGTAATACCTATTCATATCAATTTATTTAACCCAATGCTGCAGGGAGCATGTAATGGCCTTCCTTGTTTTGTTCTGTGAAGTATGTTTACACACTGATGGCTCTAAAGTGCTCAGCCACCTAGAAGACAATTAGTAAGCCTACGTGACTGCACCCGATTTCCCCTTTCCTTTAAGGATTTTTTCACTTTCTCCTAATGTTATTAATATCAATGATGTAATGATTAGTATATTATTATTAACAAGATTAAAAGCAAAATAACATTTTTAAAAAATATTCCAAAAAATCAAGAAAAAGGGTAAATAGATGAAATAGATAGGACTAATAACTGCCTGGTGACTATGCATTTTTGTAACCATCTACCTGCAAACACAAGTAATAAACTAAATTCATGGGCATTTCACGTATATACAAGCCATCCCCACGTAGCAATGGGTTAAGTTAAAATTTCATTTCATGGCCTCTGGTTTTAGGGTGACAAGGGAGTTTGAAAAAGGAAATCACTATGCTATTTGTCCTTCTAATTATATCAGACTAACTCACATAGTTAATTCAACTTATGGCAAATTTAACAAACTAACTGCCCATACATGCAGGGGAAACAAAATTATATCAAAATGCTTCTTAAGTAGTAATTTAGATGTTTACTTAAGACTTTTTTTCTCTTTTCTTTTTTTAAATATGCTTTTATGTCAATATTTTTATAATTATTGTTATTATTATTATTATTATTATCATTATTATTATTATTATTATTATTATTATTACTATTATTATTATTATTATCATTAGCCCCTAAATGTAAGACACACATCAACAAAATGGTATAAAAGACTTGAAAGAAACTACAAATTCTAGGTAACTTGAAATTATGCAATAAAATAGTAGAAAATACCCTACACTAGAACAAGCCCCATCTTTGTTAAGTTGGTCACATCTAAAAAATAAGTAGGTTAAAACATGAAAATTATGAAGAAATAAACAAAGACTTCCCTGATATAAATGATATGTCAAAGCTATTTATAGGTAGATGTGAACACTTACAAGCAATACTTCTAGAGTGACTAGTTTCAGAAACTTACTATTCATTTTCTCCCAACTACTCTATAACTTTTTACTTTTTTCCATTCCATAACATTTTAAAATCACATTTTTTTTTATGACAAATGCAAAAGTACATCCACATGAATCCTGAAATCTGCCTCATATGTTCACCTGTGTATACCAACAAATTCACACAAAACTTTTCAGCAGCTGATTATATTTCCTGAATAACTTCCATAAATAACTTGCATACAAAATTTTTATTATACATGTATGTCAACAGAAATGGTCCTTGCAAAATCTGACTTCTTTTGCTCTTTCTGTAAGAGAAGTCAGTATTTTCGTTGTAATTCCATTTGCTGGAATGAGCCCTGACTTTTTTTTTTTTTTTTTTTTGGGGGGGGGGGAAGACCTATGAGAAATTTTTCCATCTTCTTGCTCCTTCATTCTTGATTGTTTGAAAATCTGGGTATTTCATACACTTCTACTGTATACAGTAATATGAAGGCATCATGATCATTAAGGTGAACATTTTGGGCTTTTTTTTCAAAACACTTATTTACACAATACAACAAAAAATGGAAATTCAAGATTACCATATCAAAAAAATCCAAGATATTCTGACCTACCTGAATATCAAGGGCCCAATTTACAACAAGCACACCACATACAGAGACACATACCAAATTTATTGTCAGAAAGTGACAGCAGTAATAATAAACAACATTCCTATCATTCTGAAACAACAGAAGACTAGGAAGAAGAACAAGAACAAAAAGCAGCAGCAGTCTAAAGAACTGCCTTGAGGCATATGACAGTTGATGAGAATGGGGTATGCATGGAGGCCACAAACATGTTCATCCAAGAATCTGTGGCTCGTGATTTCTCTCTAAATGATGATGCAACGTAGTTATGACAATGACTAAGCTGTAAGGGTCATGACAAGACATGCCCGAAACTCTCAAATCAAGAGACAAGACTTTCACTGTAGAAAATTGTGGAGTAACTTATTTATTTACCTCATCCCTTGAGAAATAAAAAGATTCATGAAAACATGATGATGAACATGAAAAGTATCAAAATCAGTTGCAATTGACAGCTGCTAATAATGAAGGTAATACAGAAAATAACAGTAAATAATTAAAAATGTAAATACACTATATTTCAGGATGAAAAACAAAGTTATCCCTTCAGCATAATTGTTACAATGTTCACACTGGCACAAATATTTACATTATCTTATCACACTTTAAATTTATATTGCAACTCATATTGTTCATTGCTGAATTGCACGTTGTATAGGTAAAACAGCTTGTGCAAATTCTTCTGTGAGATAATTGTCATATTTTACATAAAACTATTACAGATATTATTTATTTAATCTTTCTTCCTTTACCTAACTGCATACAACCTATCACATTAATGTAGTTGATAAATTAACAATAGCATGTACATATTATTTTTCGGATTATGCCAAGATTGTTAAAGAACCAAAAAAATTCATTACATGACAGTCTCAATGGCATTCATACCTATAGTTTTTTATTTGCTAATTAAAATATTAGTGAATGCCTCTCGAACAACTATCATTTTGCATATGTTCATCACCATTTCTTCAATTCTCATCCTCAAGAGTGTACCAAGATTTCTTTTTCTCTTTGTTACTGCTCGGATTTGCTTCCTCCTAAGAACTGCCTGTGTAATGAGTGATTTTTTCAGCTGTGTCCATTTATGCACGTCTTACAGGCACTGCACCCCTTCTAAATATTGCAAATATATTAATCATAAATAAAAACACATTTGACATCTCCATCACTCAGACCTTGAAAAATTAAATAAATTAAATAATTAAATAAATGAATAAACAAATAAATACGTAAATAACCATAAATTTCAAAAATAAATAAATGAAATAAAATTACATATACATACACATGTATATACATAGACATATATATATGTGTATGTATATATATATGTATAATGTATAATGTATATATATGTATCGTATAACTTCGTATAATGTATGCTATACGAAGTTATTACGGATTTAAGGGATTGTTGGGCTATATTAAATTAAAGTACTTTCCTTTGATTACTAATGACTTACTAATGATTTACTTTACAAAGTATCCAACTGCTAATTCATATATTTATAAATATATGAATTAGCAGTTGGATACTTTGTAAAGTAAATCATTAGTAAGTCATTAGTAATCAAAGGAAAGTACTTTAATTTAATATAGCCCAACAATCCCTTAAATCCGTAATAACTTCGTATAGCATACATTATACGAAGTTATACGATACATATATATACATATATAAATATATACAAATATATACATATATACAAATATAAATATATACATAGACATATATATATATATATAATGTATATATATGTATATAAATGCATATGTATATATGTAT